TACTGAAGTAGTGATGAAGAGATTATGCCAAAAATAGACCTTCAGTCTCCCTCCCTATGCCAGTGTGGAGCATCTACTCCAGAGGACTATCTGATTCCAGTTGAGAGAACAAATAGCTCCTGGAAATGGTATCTAGAGATGTGCCAGATGGAACCAAGCCACTGGAAGTCAAGCTCCTGATCCAAAGAGGCCTAGATAAAGGAGAGAACATGCATGAGGCCCAGAAAGCAGATACCTAAGATAGCAGGTCTGAAAGGAAGGTAGGGAATGGAGTGAGCAATTCTAAGTCAATAAAAAAGTCGTGGTAAACCCTTGGGCGCGCGCATACGCACGCACACACATGCGCATACGCACGCACACACATACACACACACACACACACACACACACACACTTTCACACAGACTTTCCATGGTGTAGATTCTTTCCATGGTGCAGATTGTGGATCAAGGTCCCTGCAGCTCTGGAAGGGAGGGAATGTGGTGGCAGAGGTGGAGTTGGAGACTGACCTGTAGCAAAGCAGTCAGTAGTAGACATCACCTACTTCACTATTGTATCTTGTGCTAGACCAGCCAGTGAATTTGGAGCGGGCCATGGGAAAGAAAACAAAATAGGTTCAGTTGTTGGACAGGAAGGGGAGGACGGACACTCTAGATGGTAGAAAAGGCATCCAGGTGAGAGTGGCTATGGCATGGGGGAGGAGAACTGGTATGGCTGCAATAAAAACTGGGTGGGCTGGGCCAAATCATGAGAGGCCTTGAATTTCAGTTAAGGAACCTCAGTTTTATTTTCTAAATATTAAGAAGGCTTTGAAATCTCTTGTCTGAAGAAGTAGAATGATAAAAATATATCTTATTGTGGAAGATGAATTGAAGCCGGTGCAGTGACACAGACCTGTAATCCCAGTGGCTCTGGAGGCTGAGATGGGAGAATTGCAAATTCAAAGCCAGCCTCAGCAACTTAGTGAGACCCAGTATAAATAAAAAGGGCAAAAATACCTATTAGTAAGCAATATAACACTGTTGGGTTAAACACTAATCAGTGCCTAGGAAATTTTGCAGTGAGATAAGAAGGTCTCCAAAAGAATGTGGTAAATAGGGAAATGGGGAGGGGGAGCCTGCCATTTCCCTTATCTCCAATCTTTGGGAGAATATCTACACAAATGACCTTGGTTATAAAGTAAAGGAATGAAGCATCTGAAGAAAGCCACCTGTACAGTGGGCATGCACCTATCCTATACATTCCCCCAGCTTATAGGCACATCGAAGCCCTCCATTGTATCCTGATCGACCACCACCGAGGAGTAAGAAATAAAATGTCCAAAATCTCTCTTTTTGGGTCCTCTAGGTTCTCTCTTTGGGACTGGTAAACAGTATGCCTTAGGCCTTTGCAGCCCTCGAGTGGAACGAACACACAACATATATTTACCTATGGTTTACTGAACACCCCATATTATTCCAACAAGAATTTGTGGGAATCAGCAGTATAATAATTATAAGAGAATGGGTATGTTATAAACTCTGAATTATTTCCAAAATGACTTGCGGTGACTCATGGGGAAACATGTGCAAACTCATTGTGAGTATAATTCTCTTTGGCCCAATCCCATTTACATTTACAATACTGCTTTTTGCATTAGTCATATGTGTATTTGTCTCCCAAACAACTATGAGCTTCTTGGGGCAGCAACTGCCTAAGTCATCTTTGAATATCCTGCACCTAGCATTGTATCTAAAAAATAATGCTCAATATCTATTCAGTGCATGAATGCTATGATTAGGATAGTAGTAGATATTTGTTAACTACTACAGCAAAATGAATTCCTGATCTCCAGGCCTGAGAGTATGAGGTTGCTAATACACTGCCTCTTTGGGCAGGAAGGTTTAAGGAGCTGGACCACATTGGGCCACTCTATAGCTCCAGCACGCCCTGTGCATTTCTAGATTGCAGTCTTCCTTAGGTGATCTGTTAGGAACACTCACCTGTCTTCTCTCAGTTTAGCCATATCCTGCCCATCCTTTATGGTCCAGGTCAACTCAATTCCTACTTCTTTTCCTTAGTCTTTCTCCATGTCTGGAATCTAGGAGGCCTCTACCTCTTCTGACCCTGATAGCACATTCAAGACCACTCACTGGCCGGGTGTGGTGGTGCACACCTGTAATTCCAGCACCTTGGGAGGCTCAGGTAGAAGGATTGAAATTTCAAAGCCAGCCTCAGCAACTTAGCAAGGCTCTAAGCAACTCAATGAGACCCTCTCTCAAAATAAAATATATAAAAAAAAGGGGTGAGGATATGGCTAAGTGGTTAAGTGCCCCTGAGTTCAATCCTTGCTATCAAAACAAACAAACAAACAAAAACTCACTGAATTTCTGGCAATGTGACTTCCTTCACCTGTTTTATTCCTTATTTAAATCTGAGCTTCTTGAAGCCAGGGACTGGGTCTTATATTTTCTTTTATACTCCCCTCAGTACCTACAAAGCTTTCTCTTAGCAACTCATGTCATAGAGAAGCAATGCACTTAACTCAGTGAATGTGTTTAGTTGGCAGAGACTAAAATTAAGAGAATGGCCAGTCCCACAGGTGCCCAGGACAGACCCAGTGGATTGGGTCTCTGGATAACACTTTGCATTTATCTGGGGAACTTTGTTCAAAACAAAACAATGGATAAAAATGCCCTCTTCTCCTTGGTAACTGTCCTGCCTTGGTCCTCTCAATTCTGTGTTCTAGGGCCCTCAAAGTTGGGTGGCCTGGTATGCTGCTTGCTGCTAACCCATCAAGTGCTCTCTAGGGAACTGATTTGTCTGGCATTGTGAAACACTTTCTGCCATAATTATTTTCTTTTCCTTATTATTAATTCCTATAAAGAAATGAGGGCTATATTTGTATTTGTGAAATACAAATGCTGATTTTTCTATTTCTAAAGATTTTTTTTAAATGGAGACCTCCTCTTCTGAGAAAACAGATAAATGAATAAAATAATTCTCTGTGTAAAATATGAATTTTTTTCTTCTTTTTGAGATGGGGTCTTACTATGTTTTCCAAGTTGGTCCCAAACTCCTGGGTTCAAACAATTCTTCAGAATTGTTTTCTGACTTCAGAGTAGCTGGGACTCTAGGTACACCTCCATGCTAGGCTTGAGATTTTAATAAAATTAATAAAAATAGCTACCATTGACTGAGAACCTCCAATAAACCCTTAGATTAGAGCTACTCTCCGTGGGACAAGTATTTGCCCCTAATACACACAATAGCACCAAGCAGAGAATAGGTGCTCAAGAAATATGTATAAAAATTGATGGTAGGTACAACACACAGAGCTTTGCATAGCTGCCTCATTTAATCCCATCAGCCTCTCCTCAGTGGACCACTCACAAACACCCCGCTTAATGAAATATTAACATTATCTTTATTCCCATTTTATAGGTGAAGAAATTGATATTGCAAGATGGAATAATGTATCCAAAGATATATGACAAGTAAATAAATAGTCTCTTTTACTCTAAAACTTTTCTTAACCAGGGTTCTATGAATAGAACAAGGGTGGATGGCCCAGATGAGAACATTCCATCACCAGGGTAACATCCCAGTGGGCTGATCCTCACAGGTGGATTTCAAATTGGCATTGAATTGCTGTATATAAAAGGTAATTGAGGGTTGGGTTGGTAGCTCAGTGGTAGAGCATTTGCCTAGCAGGTGTGAGGCACTGAGTTTGATTCTCAGCACAGCATATAAATAAGTAAAGGCCCATTGACAAAAAAAATATATTTAAAAATAAAAATAAATAAAAGGTAATTGATAATAATGAATCTGTAGAAACAGTAATATATTTTCTCTCTATAGGCAATCAATTCTCATTCTTTTAGTAGTTATGTTCTAAAAAAAAAAATCACAGCAAACAGTAAAATTAGCAAACGCTGAACCATTGTTCCTAGGGAAGTTAGGTTCCCATGAGCCTCTGATCACAATATTTTTTCAAACAATCACTATGTAATCTTTTGTATGGTTTGTTTATTTTTATGTGTGTGAGGGGAATGTTAGAAGGGAGGGAGGGTCTCGCTTTGTTGTCCAGGCAGGCCTAGACGTCTGGGCTCAAGCCATGTCCAGCATTAGCCTTCTGAGTAGCTGCAGGCTCTCACGACCATGTCTGGTTTCTGTTACTGCTTAATTTAATAGATATTGTTGATTCATTAACACTTGATTAATTGAACCCATGACCTACAGCACTACAACTGATGCCTACACAAAGCTTATCTAACAGACGTTTCTCCATCAGGTACATGCCAGCCTTCTTGTGCTTAGGAACAATCGCTAGCACTTCAGTGCTACACTGAGGTGTCAATTTGTGTCACAACACACAAACAGATTTAAGTGGAGAGAAAAAACAAAAACATCTATTTAATAAACTGAATGAATCCTTCTTTACAAAGTACCTAATTAATATAATAAAGTGACCATTTTTTGAGGATGACAATAGCAGACTCTTCATAGATTTTAACTCCTTTAGTCCTTATGATACTTTAAGAGTTGGACGTTCTTTCCACTGAATATATAAAGAAACTGAGGCCCAAAGAAGTTAGTGGGTAACATAGTTAGCATCTGAAACAAATAACCCCCAAATCCATGATCTTACCACTAACTTGTAGAGCTGAGTAATTTTATTGAGCTGCAGTTTTTAGATAATTTGTTATAAATGTTTGAATTCTGTGATAATCTCAATGAACTTTCAACTAAGACATCTCCATTTCACTTGCAGTAGGCCTAGAAGATGGGCTTTTAATAAAATATAAATTAACTCAAAAGTACATAAAAAATAATTGCTCTGTTTTCTTTTTACTTTCCTTTAGTCAGGTCTCCATTTTGTTTATACATCCCCCAGAGCAGATGGTAAAGTATCAATGGAGATAGAATTCAAAAAGTTTGATTTCTGATGAACTCTTATCATTAGTAAAAGGAATTTTAAGTTAATGATAAAAATGAGATATTTTAATACATCTAATTAAATAAAAAATGTAGATTTTTATTTCATCCATATTAGTCTTGATTTTCATTATACTGGATAATTCATTCATGATTGGCATAGTTTGCTTTATGGAGGCCAATATAATTCTTTAATGTTGAGTGTGTAAGACATTCTGTCTTCCTTCAAGTTAAACTCACTAGATCCAATGTTGAAAAGGAATATTCTCACTTCTTCAATCGACATCTAAAGATGTCTACTTAAATCACTTGAATACCAACGGGATATTTTCAGGAGGGTTGTATGTTTATGAACAAACATTATTGGATTTTTATCTTTCAGAAGTCAGCCACTTCTTATTGGGCTCCTCCATTAAACTGAGTTCAAACTTCAAAAATTATTGTGAAAAAAAAAAAAGGATTCTAAGCTCAAGGATTTCCCAAGGGAGACTGATGGGAAAAGTACACACAGCAGAAATGGAAAAATTATACTACAGTTCAGAGGGGGAAAAGGTTCTTTTCTTTTTATATTTTTTTATTACACACACGTACACACACAGCAGGCAAGCACACACAGGTGTTTCCCGTCTGGATCCCCTGCAGCTAAATTCTGACCTTGACATTTTTTGTACCCACCCTGGCTTCACAGCTTGCTGTTTCTGGTTAACACCCTGATTGTGAATTTGGGCTGAAAGCACAAAGCAAGGATCCTAGCACAGGAACTTTCCCTGGAGGGGTTTCCACTCTGAGCTGGTCTGAGTGCAGAGTTTATTTCTGCTTCACTGCTGCTGCCCTGAGGAGGTGATGGAGGGGGGTTCTAACTTGTGAAAAAGTCTTCTTTAGACTCCCCACTGTTCACAGGCCTTGGGCTTTGGTTTTTGTGCCCCTTCTTATAAAGGCTGGAAAAACTCCTTTAACCTTCCTGGGATCAGGCTGCCTGTCCTCTCTGGTTCTTGCCTTCTGTAGTCTGGGGCCTGATAGTTCCTAACTCTCTTGTTAGTTCTTCACTGAAAAATTTGGAAAACAGAAAATTCCCCCACATTTCTTGGCAGTTTTCACTGGGAGATATGTGTGAATAGTTCATCACAGACACTTCAATGAAAGTCTGTTCACGCTAGGTGTGGTGGCACACACCAGTAATCCTGGGCTCAGGAGGCTGAGGCAGGAAGATTACCAGTCTCATCAAATTAGTGCGGCCCTAAGTAACTCAGAGAGACCTTGTATCTAAACAAAATATTAAAAAGGGCTGGGAATGTGGTTCGATGGTTAAGTGCCCCTGGGTTCAATCCCCTGAACAAAAGAAAAAGAAAAGAAAGAAAATAATCTTTCCAGTCCCACATTGTGCATTTGCTTCTTAAATTCTGTTCATGTATACAAAAATGTTAACGTGAGCTTGTCTTAAATGTCTGAGCACAGTCCTTGTGTGTAGAAAGTACTTTTTATAGTTATGTGGATTTCAAATTAATGCTAATTTTCTAAAGTAAAAATTGTACAATCCTTTTGCCAACTTTTGATTTCAGTATGGTTTTTGTTATTCTATTTATAAATTGAGTTATTTTTGTTTACAGTAAGAATGATAAACTTTACCTAGGGATGTAGCTCAGTGGTAGAGCACTTGACCTTAATGTTCAGGGTCCTGGGTTCAAGCCCCAATACTGTCAAAATAAAACATATATATAAATAAACAAATCCTATAAAATAAGAAAAAAGAATAACCCTTTTTTTTCTGCTAATATTCAAGTAACTCAAGTTGAGAAGACTAGATACCCTGAAGTAATCAGTCCATTTAAAACTTAGTTAATACAAGTCCTTTAAATATAAACTTCCCTTATAAATTTCACACATTTGATTTTTAAGCACTTCAAATGCCTGAAATGACAAATCTATGGCCTTAACAAATAAAAACATTCTTAAGTGGGGCTGGGGTTGTGGTTCAGTGGTAGAGCACTTGCCTAGCATATGTGAGGCCCTGGGTTCGATTCTCAGCACCGCATTTAAATAAATGAATAAAATAAAGATCCATCAACATCTAAAAAAATATTTTTTAAAAAATCCCAAAGTACTTAACACATATTTTCAAATCTATGTTCTACCATAGGCAACTTAATGACTTTTTCAGTACTTTTTATAATGAAATCACTTTTGGATATTTTGGATATTTGTAACACCCGAAATGTTGGTGACCACTGAATCAAAAGTGACTTTAATCTGGGTGTGGTGGCACATGCCTGTAATCCCAACATCTCAGAAGGCTGAGGCAGGAGGATTGCCAGCCCTAGCAATTTAGCAAGACTCTAAGCAACTTAGCAAGAGTCTGTCTTTAAATAAAATATAAAAAGGGCTGGGGATGTTTCTCAGTGGTTAAGCCCCGCTGGGTTCAATTTCCAATAACCCCTCGCCCCACAAAAAAAAAGTGACTTTAACTTTTCTGCCTTAAACTTTTCTGTATTTCCTTAATTTTCTAATATATATACATACATATATATGTACATATATATTGCATATTAAATCAGAAGTAACAATATCATTATAATCAGAACCAATGCATAGTATTTTAAAAAACAAAATATACTCTTTTCCTATATACTTTTTTTGGTCTTTTTCTCCCTGAAGAAAACCCAAAACCACAAAGTCCTTAGGAGACAATAGCAAAAACTGGGGTGAGATGTGGGGTTGGGGACATGGTGGTAGTAGGAATATTTTGCAGAAGGAGAAAGAGGAACGTAAATATAATTGTGAATACTGCTTCTAGGTCAGGCAGGCAACTGATAGTATTTTTTTCATTTGCAGGATAGCAAGAACGACTTGAGAGTTTATTTGTTATCATGTCATCCATCAACAGATTAAAAACAATAAATCAAAATAGAATAAGCAAACAACGTCTCCTAGAGCAGATAAATGAAAAGCGTGAAACCAACTGTTTTGTGGAAAGAAGCAATCAAGTCAGCTTCCTGAGAGTTCAGAAGAGGCACTTCAGTGGTGCCCATCAGTCATGTGTTTTCACCCATTTCAATGAAGGTATTCCTGACAGCAGCAGGAGCTCCTGGGTCCAACCAAGTGTCTTTGTTCACCCAGAGAAAAGGCACTTTGAACCAAAAAGTAAGATGTTATGGGAGAATTCCTACTCTTCATAGGAAGAATTCATAAGAAAATTTAGGAAAAAAATTCTGGGGTAAAAAGAGGTTCCTATATATTATGGTTTGGATATATAGTGTCTCCCCCAAAATTCATGTGTTAAAAACATGATATCCGGGGCTGAGGCTGTGGCTCAGCGGTAGAGCACTTGCCTTGCATGAGTGAGGCACTGGGTTCGATCCTCAGCACCACATAAAAATAAACAAATAAATAAGAGATAGTTAAAAAAAAGAAAAGAAAACATGATATCCAATGTAGCAATGTTCAGAAGTGAAATGATTAGATATGAAATCTGTAATCTCATCAGTGAATTAATCCATATGGTAGATTAATAATTTGAAACCGACTACTGAGTGTTAACTATAGGCAGAAAGAGTGAGTTTGGAGCAAGTAGGTTATTGGATGCATGCCACTGGGGATTATATCTTGTCCCTGGCTTCTCATGAGGTGCCTCTTCCCTTCCCATCCCCTCTCTCTCTTTCTCTCTCCCTCTTCCTGGCTGCCATAAAATGAGCAGCTTTCTATCACCATTCCCTTCCACCATGCTGTTCTGCCTTACCTGGGCCCTGAGCAATGAAGTTAATTAACCATGAACTGAACCTCTGCAATCATGAGCGAAATAAACCTTTTCTTCTTTCAGTTGTTTTTGTCAGGTATTTTGTCATAGCTACTATGTCACAGCAATGGAAAGCTGACTAACACACTAGGTATTACCCTGAGATACTTTAATCTGTCTGAAGGAAAAAGTATCAGTAAACTAGGCTGGTTTGTATAAGATCCACCAGAGTTCAGACCCTCAGCTTCTTGGGCCTATACAGAATCCCAGACCCAGGCTGATTCGTTCAATAGGCTCTAGTCTGGGTCCTGAAATCTGGATTCTCAAAAGACTATGGTGATTGTGATGCTGATGACCTTAGGACCACATTTTTTAAAAAAGTTGTTACACATAATTGTGATAGATCCCAAGAACTTCAGAGACCCCCCTATCTCACCAATTTCTGTTGCCTTCTGCAAACATTTCATGTGCAAAATTGAAGCAAAGGAAAAATGATTTTGATGATAAAAGTCACACAATAGCCCTGAAAGCAATAATTTTAAAAAAAAAGTGGAGGGAGGTTGGGTGGAAGGCAATGGTATGGGGTAGTGGTATTATTTTTCAGGAAGAAGAAGTCATAAATGCCAATTATTTTGGTATTGTTATAAATATTGACTTCTTTCTTAGTCAAGGCAGTCAACAGGTAATATTTTCTCAATTGTGGAGGGTTGGGAGAAGTGTGCATATGTAATTATATTTAATACAACCAATGCTTTATTTAGTTCAGAAGCTAAAGAATGGACCACATTGGAGATTTAATTTTTTGATGTGACTGTGACTTCCATTTGGTCAGAGCTCTTAGTAAGTGGTATAGGGAAGTGATGCAGTGTGACATAGAAAGCCAAAAGGATGCATTGTATCTTAAAATTAATCTATAACAATCCTGTTTTTCTTTTCCTGCAGGGTAGGGTGTGTACTAGGGATTAAACCCAGGAGCATTTAACCACTGAGACACATCCCAGTCCTTTTTTAAATATTTTATTTAGAGACAGGGTCTCACTGAGTTGCTTAGTGCCTTGCTTTTGCTGAAGCTGGCTTTGAACTTGTGATCCTCCTGCCTCAGCCTCTCAAGCTGAGGTGCACCGGCCATGTTTTACTCAAAAAATACTTTTACAAAGAGTATTGCTCATTCTAAGAGAAAAAGCATAATCTTTTACTCTGGTTGAATTATTTGGAACTAGAAGAATTAATTCATAGCTACTATGAATTAATTGTCACAAGTTTGATAGTGGAGGGAAAAATCTGCCTCCAAGACAAACATAGTATACGACTTTACATGGTTATACATGGCTTTTTACAATACATAATTTAACACATGTAAACATAAACAAGTTTTATGGTATAAAGTTTATAAGCCAAAAATCTTAGATCATTAAAAAAAACTCCCAGGGTTGCGGTTGTGACTCAGTGGTAGAGCATTTGCTTACCATGTATGAGGCACTGGGTTTGATCCTCAGCACCCCATAAAAAAAATTAAATAAAGGTACTGAAAAAGAAAAAGTCTGCAGATGTGGCTCAGTGGTTTAATGCCCCTAGGTTCAATCCCTGGTACCAAAAATTAAAAAAATAAGTAAGTAAAATGATTTAAAAAATAACCCTCTAAATATTTTAGAAAAAAATCTTTGCCCCTTTTAACTAAACAGATTTAAACAGCAATTTAACTTTATGGTGTATGGATACAAGATAAGTATAGACCTAATTTAAATGATAGAAATTTGACATGTAAATACATGGTGTTACTGTTTTGGTGTCCCTCCAAAGCTCCTACGTGAGATAACGAAAGAATGTTCAGAGGTGAAATGATTAGGTTGTGAGAGCCTTGACCTAATCGGTGGATTAATTCACTGGTATGAATTAACTGAATGGTAACTGTAGGCAGGCCGAGTGTGGCTGGAGGAAGCAGGTCACTAATGGTGTACCTTTGAGGTGTATATTTTGTCCCTGGTGGGTGGAGATCTCTAGCTGCTTCCTGGCAGCCATTTCCTCAGCTTCTTTCCTCCACCACACCCTTCTACTATGATGTCCTGCCTCACCTCAGGCCCAGAGTGATGGAGTCAACAGCCCACGTGCTGAACCTCGGAACCGTGAGTCAAAATGAGCTTTTCCTCCTCAGGTTGTTCTTGTCAGGTGTTTTGGTCACAGCCGTACAAAAGCTGACTCTAACACATTATCTGTATTAGTAATCTAAACTAGTCCTTCTCAAAAGTGTGGCTCAGGGATCCTTGTGTACTTGAGTCTTTTTCAGGAGTCTGCAAGGTTAAAACTGTTTGTTTGTTTGTTTTGTACAGAGGATTGAACCCAGGGGTGCTTAGCCACTGAGCCACACCTTTAGACCTTTGTATTTTGAGACAGGGTCTCTCTAAGTTTCTTAGGGTCTCACTAAGTTGCTGAGGCTGGTCTAGAAATTCCAATCCTTCTTCCTGACCCTCCCTAGTCATTGGAATTACAAACACACACCACCATGGCCAACACATTTTATTTTCTTATTTCCACAAGTGGAAAGTATCTGGGCTAAAGAAAAAAAGGCATGCTACTTTTTTAAAAAATCTTTTTAGTGCCTACTTTATTCTGAATACTATTAAGGTTTCTTTGTTCCTAAACTGAGTTTAGATCACTTGAGAAATAGAGGTAAAACTGTTGGCATCCTTATTAAAAAAAAAAAAATCTGTATTGGAGGAATTTGCTAAAGAGCAGCCAAATGGCCAACTTGCCCCTACAGGGAATTTACCCCATCTTGAAACAGAACTTCAGACCTGCTACTGGACTGAGAACCCATAAGAGAGTGCCCTCCAGGAGACCAGCAGAGGCGTTTTACCAATGAAGAATTGGGATGTTACCTCTAAAGTTGGATAGACATATTACTGTGGTAGGCTCCCAAGAAACATTCATTAAACCAAATAACATCTTCTTTAGAGAAACTGACCCTCTCCTGTCCTGTGGATATTGAAGAACAGCAAAACACCAAACATCTCTAGGTGATCTTGACCGAGATAGCTCGTGGAACTTAACCTGTAAGAGTACTTAAAATATCATCTCTGTCTGCTGACACCCACATTTTCTATTTCTGACCCTGATCTCTCTTCTAACTTTCAGATTTATTTGCATATCAGATTGCACCTATCAGACTGCCCCTTGCACTTGAGGCCATCTCCAATCTACCATGGCTAACACAGAATTCCCTGCTCAAGCAGGGATCATATGTGGTTTTTCATTGTTTTATCTTCATTGCCTATAACAGTGTCTGGCACAAATTAGGCACTCAGAAAATATTGGCTGACTGAATACTGACTGGGACATGGCATATGCTTTTCTAGAATTCCTGTTCCCCACCCCAAACTCACACACTCACTGCCACTTAATCTCATTTTCTGCATCTCAGAAAATGGCCAGAGACCAAGGAAAGCCTCTGATTCCTCTCCTTTCCCTCATGTCCCTTACTCACTCTGTTAAGTCCTGTGAACATCTTTGAAATCAGCCCTGAGTCCAACCACTGTGACCACCCTGATCCAATCCATAGTCATCTGTCTCTAGAAGGATAGCAGAGGCCTTCTGAGGGTCCCCGGCTTCCACTCTTGCTGTCCCCTCCCCTGTGTTTACTTTGCACAACAACCTAAGTGACTTTTACAGATCTTATGTTACAGAGGTCACTTGTTCAAAACTCACCCAAGGTTCCACCCCACACTTAGGATAAAGTGCACGCTCCTCTCCCTGTGCTTCCGGTGCCCCGTGAACAGTCCCAGAGTTTACCTTTTCAGCCCATCTCCTCTATCACCCTGGTCTCCTTCCATGCAGCCACCATGGCTTTGCTTTCTTCCTCCTCTGGGACAAACCTCAGGAACATGGCCACATGCTGTTCCCTCTGCCAGGGGGTCTCTCTCTCTCTGTCTTTATGTGGACCTTTGCTTGACCTCAGTTTGTCAAAAATCATCCTGTCTAAATAGCATTCCTTACCACTTGACAACCCTGTCCAGATGTCTCTATCAATGTCTGATGAATGCTAAGCTCCTTGAAAGCAGGGATCATATGTGGGTTTTCATTGTTTTATCCTCATTCCCTATAACAGTGTCTGGCACAAATTAGGCACTCAGAAAATATTGGCTGACTGAATCAATACTGACTGGGACATGGCATATGCTTTTCTAGAAGTAGTGGTGGCTCTTACCTCATTCCCTTAAGACCAATCATCATGCTCTTGAGTGATGGCCCCAAAACTTAGAATTAGGCTGCTGTAGAATATTTTTTAGAAGTGGAAGAAGAAAATTACAAGGTACATTTTGCTCAATATTTTTTAAAAATATTTTTTAGTTGTAGATGAACACAGTACCTTTATTTATCTTTATATGGTGCTAAGGATCGAACCCAGGGCCTCACACATGCCAGGCAAGCACTCCATCACTGAGCCACAACCCTAACCCCAATTTTGCTCAATATTAACAGTAAAAATTAGAAGACATTGTACTCTTTTCCTTTGGATACCTCTATAAAGGAAGAAACAGTCATTTATTTTTTATTTAGTCACTCAACATTGTTTATGAATGTGTATTGCAAGTTAGGCAGTGTTCTAGATGCTCATCAGTACAGCAATGAATAAAACCCCTGCCTCAAAAAGTTTAGATTTTATTGGGTACAGCCAGATGCATGCTCCTTTCTCTGTGCTTCCTGGTGCCCCATGAACAATCCCAGAGTATCTTTTCAACCCATCTCCTCTATTCAACCTGGCCTTCTTCCACAGAACCACCATGGTTTTGCTTTCTTCCTCTTCTGGGACAAATCAGAAACTTGTTTAAAGTTAAAAAAAAAAAAAAAGAGAAGTTTGATAAACGGTTACATATTTGGAGAAACATAAAGAAGTGATACAGCGGGATAGGAATTGCTTGAGCCAGGATTCATTGCTGTCTAAAGAACTATTCAAGGATTATTACCCAAGGCATAGAACAAAATTGGTCCTGATGGTTGAACATGGTGGTGGTCTAAACTGGTGAGGAGAGGTGTATTGGTCAGCTTTCTGTTACTATAACAAATATCTGAGATCATCAACCTATAAAGAGAGAAGGTTTATTTTGGCTCACAGTTTTAGAGATTCCAGAAAAAGCCATTGCTTTTAGGTTGCTGGTGGGCAGGGGGTGTCATATAGCAAGGATAAGAAAGCATTGTGGAGCAAAATTGCTCAAATTATGACTAGGAGGCCAAAGAAAGGAAAGCACGAGGATCTCAAAATTTCCTTCCCGGGTTTGTGTTCAGTGACCTAAAGACTTCTTACTAGGCCCTATCTCTTAAAGGTTCTACCACCTCCCAATAACGCCACCTTGGGAACAAAATCTCTAACACCTGGGCCTTGGGGGACATTCCAGATCCCCAGGAACCCTGAGAGTAGAAGGAGAAGGAGGTCAAGGATTTTGCTAAAAGTGCTCAAGAGTTCTGGGGGCTCCTGTCAATAGTGATGTGAGGACCAGGGAAGGAGTTTCCTTGGACAGAGATCTCCAAGTTTTCTCTTCAGTCATTCACTTGGAGATGTGGAGGCCAAAAGATGGGCAGTGTTACTTGAATGTACAGCCTTAAAAACAGAAGACTTGGATGGGTATGGTGGCACACACCTGTAATACCAGGGGCTTGGGAGGCTAAGGCAGGAGGATTGGGAGTTCAAAGCCATCCTCCGAAACTTGGCCAGGCCCTAACAACTCAGAGAGACCCTGTCTCTAAATAAAATATATAAAGAAGATCTGAGGATGTGGCTCAGTGATTAAGTGCCCCTGGGTTCAACCCCTGGTAACAAAATAAAACAAACAAAAACAAAACAGAAGACTTGGGTTCAAGGTCTGCCTCTCTCATTAATTAGTCTCATGCTTCTCGTCGTGTGATATTTCTGAGCATTAGTGTCCAGCTATAGAATGGTATTCATCCTCTCTGCCCTTCAGGTTATTTTGAAAACTTTGAAATGCATTATAATTTATATACCAAGTACTTTGTTTATTTATTTATTTTTTTGTTTCTGTTTTTGTTTTTCAGATAATGGCATATTTGGATGAAGATGAAGTGCATCTCTTAGAGACACACAAATACATTCTCTTTGATCTTTCTTCAATGTTTGCCTGAATTATTTAGAAATTAATTATAAAAGAAGCTAAACAGAGGGGCTGGAGATATAATTCAGTTGGTAGAGTGCTTGCCTTGCATGCACAAGGCCCTGGGTTCAATTCCCTAGCACCAAAAACAAAAACAAACAAAAGAAGCTAAACAAAATTATTAGCTAAAACACCCCAAATTTTTGAGTCATATAAAACATGCTACATCTTCTTCACTCATTCCATTCCACCACTTAGTCTTAGATGTTTTGAACAGGGGATCTGAGTTATTAAAGACAGTTTCAAAGATGAAAGACCTAAACTTTATAGCAACATCCCCTTTACTAATCTAAAATGCTTAAATTTTAGTCTATATTTGTTTCTATAAATCAGAGGAATATGTTGACCAACGCCACTGGTCAGTGGAAGGCTAAAATCGCTTGAAATTAACACTTGTTTGTACTTGCCAATTACCTTAACTTACTCTGTCAAGCCTACAGTTTTGGTGATTTGAATAAAATCTTATTTTATAAGTAAAATAAGATTGATTTTCCTTGAGAAGTAAAATAAGGTGCATGTATGTAGTTCAAGTTTTTGTTATATTTTATTGCTCATCCCTAAAGTGAGAATTTCTTAGAATCTTCTTGTGGCCAAATCCTATTTGGCTGCTGTCACCTTCTTCTCATTTCTTCTCTGGGCGCAGTACCTCAGACTTTTAACTTGGCTTATGTTTTTTGGTGTTTTTTTTTTTTTTTTTTTTGTACTTAAGCGCCTATTCCAAATGGCAAGCTGAGTGCTGACTGGCCTGGAACGCAGACTCTTCTTGGCATTGTTTATGGTTTCTCTCTGCCTCCAATGGAAGCTCAGATTCACAGAAAGTCAAAGTATTCTGACATAGGAAGGGACGTCGATAAGTTGCCTGGCCTACAACCCTGCCTCAGCTTAGACTTTTCTCAGGCACAGAGTGGATAAAACTATGAAGTATGTAAAAAATTAGCCAGACCTAGATCTAATTTTTGCTTCCCCAAAGACAAATACCTAGTTTCAAAAACCATGAAGAGTTGACTTGCCAGTTTCCTGGGCACTGGCAGAAGAGATGAGACTCTTGGTTCAGAGCCAAAGAGCTTTACAAAGGACAAGCAGCAGCACAAGCCTCATGCTGGGGCTGGTTCTCCTTGCCCTCCCCCACCACCTCAAGATCCTTGGACCAAGAGGGAGCAGTCCAGGTAGACACACACACACACACACACACACACACACACACACACACAGGTTTTGTCACACAGGGGAAGATTCTTGAGCTTAAGAAACCTGACCTTTGCCCGGAAAGAGACATTATCTGCCAGAGCCTGCCCTCTGCTCCAGAAAGAAACCATATCTCTACCTTCCAAAAGGACAGGAACAAGGGTTATCAGTGCTGCTGACCCTTGGTGTACTGAAACAGGAGAGAGCCATGGGAAATTATCTTCTAACACTTACAGAAGCTCAAATAAAGATCATCAAATACAGTACTATTGTTTGGCTCAATCCAAGGTAAATAGAGAAGATAAGCAAATCAGGTTCTACCCAATACAATGAACAACCTCCCTGTCCTCATTTCTCTATGGCCCTATCCTGTTGTCTCACCATATACCTCTGGCTTTATGGAACTGCTTGTGGTTCTCTGAATTCAGCGTATTCTCCTACCTCTCCAACTTCAACTTGTGCAAGATTTAATTTAAATACCACCTCCTTTAAGCTGCCTTGCCTCACCCCACCCTCACCATTACACATTTCTATTCTGTGCTCCTCTAAGAACTTGTAAGAACTTGTAAGAACTTCAAGCTAAAATCAGAAACTCAAAAAGTCACAAAATAACATGGACTCTGACCCTACTTGAAATGGCAGGAAGTCAAGCCACCCTCGCCCTGCCTCCCAGTAGTGCTTCACCCTTTACCTGTCCTGCTAGGTGCTTGTGATTCCTCGGTAAACACTTGATGACAGCTCCTCCTTTTCAGCCCTGGCTTCCTGCAGAGCTGCCTGCAGTGGAATGCCCCAGTCAATCCCACTAATGCAACAATGACAGCGGGCCATACTGAGATATTTTCTCAAGTACCAGGGATGTCTGGAAAAGACCAGCTAGGCCTACCATTGTAGTTGCAGCCACAGAAAGCCAATGCCTCTTCCTTAAGTCGCTCCTGCAATGTGTCCAAAGGGACAACCGAGCAGGAGCCAGAAGCCAAACTTCAATAGCCAGTCCACAACTGTTTAAGGCCTTCTGAACAAGAAGGACCTATGAGGGCTGGATTGTGATGATATGGAATGAAGTGGTGTGGGTGGGCAGGTGAAGTATACCTAAGTGTAAAACCCTTACTCAAATCTGCACTTTTCTGTTATTCTAGAGTGATGGGTGGGTGAAGTGGTCCACTTCCTGTCCTAGAGGAAGAGCAGAGACCAGCAAATTTGCATGTTTCCTTTGGGGATTTTAATGAAAAAACTCTTTTATATTATGCCCCCTTTGTATTGCAGGTCCCTCTTCCTCATCCACGCTGGCTGACTACCCCTGGAATTTATATTTCCTATGTTTTTACTACCTTCCAATAATTTCATCAAACTATTAACCCATTAATGGACTAATTCACTGATGAGGTCAGAGCCCTTGAGTCCACCGCATGACCAGCATGCTGGTTTCATTCAAGAGGTTCGTAGCATAGAAGTTAACTAGTGAGATCAAAATCAACACACAGACTCAATTACCTTTTTGCCCCACCTCTGAACACTGCTGCATTGGGAACCAAGCCTTCAACACATGAGACTTTGTGGAACATTCCAGATCCAAACCGTAACATTCACAAATTCAGAAGGTCTTTTTACATCCTTCCTTTTTTCCCACCCACAGAATGGATATAAATTCCTCTTTACAACACTTGCTTATCAGCTCAGAGACAGGCACCAGTGAGCCAATTTTCGGTCCATAAATTTACATTCTATGTTTTCCTCCTTTGAAGCCTGGGATTGTTTTTCCTTTGTCTTGTTACTTTTCTAAAAGGTATTGTTCTTTGTGGAAATACTATTTAAGGCAGTCTTCGAAGCCACTACCTTGAGTGACTTTTCTCCCATACAAAGTGCATTAATAAACTTGCTTGCTTTTATTTTATTAATCTTTCTTCTGTTTCAGGAGTCCATCACACAAACTTAAGAGAGTTGAAGAAAATTTTATTTTCTACTTTTTACTCTTCTAGGTGACCAAAATTTTTTTCCTTAGGATTAAAAATAAGTCTCTCTTTACTACCAACTGCTAAAATTTCCTAAAATATGCACTTTTGAAGCTCAAGGAAGATACAACAACTAGTCAGATATATATGATATGAATAACAAGTTTCATTGATTGGCTTTTAAAAGGTTGCTGCTTTGTTTTGAAGTTCACTGAGAATATTATTCTGTGAAGGTTTTTTAAAGGTTTGGGTAGATATTTTATTTCAGATAGAATAATTTTTATTTTCTTCTATCAGCAGCATTGGGATATGTAATCATATTTGTAACCCCAAAATGCCTCTGTTGATAACTTGGGCATAGCTATAAAACATTCCTCCATCTTCTACCTGTCTTTAGTTTTATTTTTAACCTCCAATTCTATTCCTTTCCTCATTTCCAGAAGTCCTAATTGGAAACAGCTTCCTCCTGCCTTGGCTAAAAGGCAAAATGTCTCCCTACCTCCCTGGTGACTTCCCTTACTGAAAGAAAAGGTTTTCACTCTAGCTCTTATCTTTTTTTTTGTTGTTTTAGTAATAATCAGATGAAATTATATCATTCTTGTAAGATATTCATTCTTTCATTATCATGCACTTTGCTGCTTGCTCTTTCTCTTGCTCACTCCTATCATAATCCTTACCTCTGTCACATGTTTCCTTCCCCTCTTTCAGTCCATGTAGAAAATGCGAAGACAAAGCTGGACTCAGTGGCGCACGCCTGAAAGCCCAGTGACTCAGGGGCCTGAAGCAGGAAGATCCTGGTTCAAAGCCAGTCACAGAAACTTAATGAGACTTTGTCTCAAAATATATATATATAAAAGGGTGGGGATGTGGCTCAGTGATTAAGTGCCTCTGGGTTCAATCCCCAGTACAAAAAAAGAGGTGAAAACAAAAAAGGCTTACAACCTCTTAGGGTGCAAAACATACACAAGACAACTATACTAAAAAGGAATATAAACTGGGTGTGGGGTGCACATCTGTAATTCCAGTTAATCTGAAGGTTGAAGCAGGAGGATGGCTGGCTCAACTTGGTGAGACCCTCTGCCACATAACCAGTGCAAGCTTCATAAAAGGTTTGATACATAAGAAATTGCTAGTGAGTTTTAAATTAAAGAGACAGACTCTCATTTACCTTTAAACCCTAGCTCTGAGATGGCTTCTCCTAGCTCCCGCCTCCAGCCACCTAATGCGGTGGCAAGATTTGCAAAAGAGAAGAGAAGAGAAGAGAAGAGAAGAGAAGAGAAGAGAAGAGAAGAGAAGAGAGAGAGAGAGAGAGAGAGAGAGAGAGAACACCAGGGAGTGAGCTTTTATTGGGGAACAAAAAATTCAAGGGAAAATCCCATCCAATGAAGGTCAGGGCCAGCGATTGGGTCTTCAGGTCAGTGGCCAGGCACGCCTCTGCATGGACAAGCCCTCGGACCTGGGAAAGGGTGTGGGATGGCTTTAACACCACTGTGTCCAAGCGCCTCTCACCCAGCCAGGGAGGTAACTCAAATCACGTGTGAGGATGGCCTCCCACAAGACCCTATCTCCAAAAAATAAAAAGGGGGCTGAGAATGTCCAGCACTTGCTCAGGATGCAGGAGAATCTGGGTTCAATCCCCAGTACTGAAAAAAATAAAGGAATGTTTCATTAGACTGGTTGACAGCACTCTGAGCTCCATTATTGTGGCATTTCTCACATTGCTTTGAAATGACTTGTCCATTTGGCTACCTCTTTTATTAAAACAAGAACTGAGAACAAGGAACATGTCTTATTCCTCTTTGTAACCTCTGGTCATCATCTAGTGG